CCAAAAAAGATGCACTTTCTAGACTAGACTCTAATATATTCTTCCACACCATTCTATTGAGGAGTTTCGACACTGTCAAGTGTCTCAGTATGCTTTTAGCTCTACAGAATCTATTGAATTCATTTGAACAAAACTCCAACCCATTATCTGTACGTAGAGTTTTCACCTAATTTCCAATCTGTTTTTTTTATCATCGTTTTCAACTTCTTGAAGGCCCTAAACACATCATGCTTCTGCTTTAAAAAAAATACCCAAACTTTCCTGGAGAAGTTATCAATCACTGTCAACAAGTAATAAGTATCTCATTTTGAAGGCACCTTGGCCGGTCCCCAAAGTGTTCCCTTCGTGTTGTGTTTTCCTTTAGTTAATCTGACTCTTTTATGTTTCCTAAAGACTCAATGCTCGCAAAAATTCATCCTATTGGTCTTCGCCATCAAGAAGTCCCCTTTTACTCAACTCTGCCATACCATTCTCCGAGCCGCATATGTCAAACTTTTGTAATTTCTTCATTTGTCAAAAAAGAAGTAAAATTGGTGTATCCCCTATTATTGTGGAACCTTGCAAAATGTATAACCGTATAGAGCTTTTATGTCATTTATGACAATAATCAGCTTCAAAACTCCACCTTCACCAGTATATCTATAATCCTTTGAGTCAAGTATACTCAAAGACATGAGATTTCGCTTCAATTCTGGAACATGCCTTACATCTATAAGTGCTCTAATAGCCCCATCGAACTTTTTGATCCAGGGGACGTTGTTTCCCATAATCACTACACCTCTTGAAACTCCTTCATATGTTGTAAACCAGTCCCTGTTGAGAATATGAAAAGTACATGCTAAGTTAAGAACCCTCACAAGGTTTAGAACTTATGTCAAAAATTAGAAGAAGCTCTCTTCACTTTGTCCATCTTCCACAACATCAGCCTCCACTGTGCTTACATGTTGCTTTTCTTTATCAGTATCTCCAGTAACCTTGTTCTATTTTTCAAATCATAACAATTAGCTCTAATATGCATCTTCTTCTTACAAAAGAGATATGTTTTCCCTACATGTCTAGATTTCGATTTGTCCCTTATATTTCTACCAAGATTCCTATCTTGATTACTCCCAAAAGCAACCAGGCCTTCATTTTAACTCCAAGATCCTCCAGTAAGACGTTTCATTTTCTCCTTAGATAGTAAAGTATCATAGACCTCTTCCACAATAAGAGTATCCTGATTATAGAGAATATTATTTCTAAAAATCACGTATGATGGTGGCAACGAACACAACAACATCAAAGCCAAGTCCTCATCAACATACTTAACTTCTAATGTCTTCAAATCAGCCACGATTTCTTTGAACATAGTTAAGTGATCATCCAATGACGCACATTCTGACATCGAATGAGAATACAAGGGTTGTTTCATGTGTAACTTGCTGATTAAGCTCTATGTCATACAAGGTTGCTCCAACTTTAACCACAACGCAGTCACTTTTCTCATTTAAAACATCTTGAAGAATTTGATTTGAAAGATGTAGATGAATTTCAGATTGGGCTTTCCGATCTTTACGCTAATTTTCATCCCGCGTTTGAAAGAATGTTATCAAAGCCTAGAAAGGCTTCCTCCAAATCCATATGAACGATAACACTCGCATCATCGCTTACCATAGATTAAATCTCGTGTTTCGATCCAATAATAAAATATCATATTTCATCGATGCCATGTAGAAAACCAACCTTACTCCAAACATATATATATGTTGTAGCGACCGCGAACTTTTAAATTATATAAATTAATTTTTCTCGAAAAACGTGTCGCTAAAACGTAACCCTAATTTTTTTGAGAAACGCGTTCGTCTAGCCGTTATAAAAACGAATTCAAATATATTCGATTGAATCCAATGTAATCATGCCTCCAAAGTATTTTTCTTCATCTCATGAAATTTGATCTTTATTAATTAAAACTCCCAAAAACAAAACTCCTTATACTTCTTTTATTCAACCAAACACTAAATCACATGGAATTTGGGTAATACCACAATAAGGCCAATACTCAAGTTTCGAGGCTTGAATTTCCTCATCACTTTCTTTGATGTTTCTCCTTCTCAACCAAAACAGATACAGCCCAAAAGGTAGGAGCATTAACTTTGACATAAATTACTATAATCACAATAATCCAACCAGATGAGTTGGAGGATGATGAAGATAAAAAAATATGGCAAGTTTGAGGTGATTATATCACTTATGGATCCCTCATCATTGGAGCTATAATAATATTATTCCAAACTGAGTTGAATCAAATTATATCCAAGGCATGATGTTGCTTCCACTATGCATATTGATTGGTATAAACTCATTCGTGGAGGAATCGTGGTAGCTAGCTTCATGCATTACGAAAGAATCAACATTGTTCAAATCGATCCTTGTATGATTTAAATTCAGGGTTTCGTCACAATCAAACTCAATGGACACTAGCAACAGAAGGATTCAAAGAGTTGGTGAATAGGTCAAAGAAGTTCCTCAACTAGGCATCCTTAAGGATAGGGGAATTGGAAATGACAAACGCGAGGCCAAAGCCCGGACGTGTTGTGGATTCATGTGAAAATGCACATTCAAAAGTGTGCTAGTCGAAGATAGCAGTTTTGGAAGATTGTGTTGTGCATATTCTTCAATTATGAATGACAAATGTCTCAAATCTCCTTGATAAAACTAGTTGTGAGTTTATCATAAAGGATCTCGACCATTTGCACTATTTTCTTGGCATCGAAATTATTACTTTCAACGATGGACTCAGTGCATTCTACAATCTACCTACACGACTTCTTTAAGACAATCACTATAACTTCTTTCAAGCAAATGAGTTTCATAGAAATGGTTTCGTGGTTGTTCAACAGTGGACAGTATGGTTTCACATGCTTCTTAAAATCGCACTTGTTGACAACCGAATCCATCCACTTGGATCACATTCTCCACTAAAAATGTTGCTGAGTTCGTGATACGTCAAAAGCGATTCTGGATTAGGATTTTAACCACAAATATCATGTTTTCCAAATATACTCAACACGTTTTAAAATACTCTTCTCCATAATTTGAAAATAGTGGCATCAAAGCACGAGGACCCAATGTATTCTTTAGGTTACGTTGCACACAATGACGATGACACGTCCGACTTGTGAATGAACACGACAACAAATAAAGGTGACATTGATTGAAGATAAATCTAGAAAATAATTTGAATAACAATTTTGTTGTAACTTATTTTCACTTAAACCAACATTTGTTTAGAAAGTAGAACTATCGCATTAAAGAAGAGAAGATGAAGGTAAATAATTTTAAAATGATATGAAGTTATTATAAATTTTGATGTTTTAAACTCAAGTGGTAGCCACCTTTTTGTTTATGTTACTCATCATAAAGAAATGGATTATATTTTCTCAACGTATAAATTATGCTACATAATAAAGAATAGAGGCATTTTGAACCGAGTACTACGGTAATCATGTCCATTAAGTGTGATGACTTGAAATAAAAATCTTAATCATCTTCCATTCCAAATAATCCACAATTCTAATGTTGTACGATAATCTATAACTTCAACTTCACATTTGTTTAGACTCTTGAAGCCATGCACGACTCTCACTACAATATTTAACTAAGATTTGATGTCGAATATTGATATAAAGATTTTTCATTAGACTTGTACTTTTAAAGAATGATGGTACGTTCTTGTTCTGTTGTACCAAGTCCGAAATTAATTGATTTTACTTTCAACGTTAAATGAAAGTAATGTATAATGCGTAATAATCGAGATTATTTGGGTAAATATTCTCGGAATATTATTATTCTAGAAATAAATTTACAATGCCCATATATCTACTTTAGCTACAACATGCATGTAGAATATGCCAAAGAATCATGCATGTATCTCCATTCATTTCAATTTTCAAAAGGATAAGGAGATAAAGGTGGATATGTTTTCCCCTTAACTAAATGAAGATAAAGAAAATGGCAAAAGGGCCCAAAGATTTGAGGCTACAAGTTTAGATATGCCGTCCTTGGCCCCACAAAGTTGGACCCACATAAACAAATTTGCATGTTCAAGTTGGACTCTTGTGGACCCAAGAATGGGATTGGACATTTAAGAAGTAATCCTAAAAAGCAGACCCCTGATTCAATTTTAGAACGAAACCTCTCCTTAGAGATATGCTTTTCAAATGTATAAAATTCCTTAAGGGTCCCACTTGAAATTTAATTCATGTCATTTGTCTAATTTGATAGAGTGATTAGAATTAAGAAATGTATATTTATAAATAAGAAATTATGGTTACATATCAATCTCTTGAAACTCACATAAAGTTACTCAATTTTTTTGAAATAATAAATCACTTGAATTAGTTACTTCTAGTGATGTTTTGTATCATTTTTTCATGATTTTATCTGTGTCAACAAACAATTCAATATACCTTAACTATTAGAATATGTCGAAAGTCAAAGTGTCAAACACAATGACTAATTGAAACACTTCATTTTACAATTTTGAAAAAACCTAAAAGATTCAAGATCATATGAACATGTAAAATATAGGATTTTCAGTCTTAGCGTGACAAAGGGGTTAACGGATACTCTTAATTTAAGGTGTTTAGTGGCATCAATACTTGAGTTAAACGTACAAATCCGATACTAAACAACTATTTGTTATCTCATATTAGATGGAATAAAAAAGCAAATGTATTTTTTATATATATACATTGTACCATCGAGTCATCGTCAATACCACGTAAGTTACACTTTGTCGTGGTTGGAGTAAAATCAGCCTCAAAATTAACCTTGAGAGTTGGGGTGGGTCCACGTACCTTGGGAATCTTATCTAGGTGACCTCATCTTTGATATTAGCCTCCTCTATAAATAAGTGTTTGAAGGGTACGTTACATGTCTTATACAGGCCACTTCGAACATATACTTCCTCTTCTTTTAAATCCAAAAAGGAAATTTATTGGACCATCCAAAAGAAAACCATGGTAGGACCTTCCTTTAATACCTTAAAACCTACCACCACCATTAAGTTCTTGTGTAGCTATGGAGGCCGGATCCTCCCCCGTTATCCCGACAGCAAGCTTCGTTACCACGGTGGAGAAACTCGTGTTCTTTCCGTGGAACGCTCGATTACTTATGCTGGTTAGTTACTCTTACCTTTTGTAATCATTTCACGTGCTAGTGAAAGTGTCACAGGAGTATTTATTTCAATATATATCTTGATGGTCAAAACAAATTTTATTTTGAGCACACGGGCATTATTTAACCAAATTTAAACCCAAGCCCTTTGCGGACTTCAATACTCAGTTAATTGTCTTGAAATTTAAACATGGACCATGTATATGTATTCTTATGTTAAAAGTACATACATGGGACTGAGATGTATATATTTTGGTGGCGCGTGGTGTTTACAGAGCTTGTGGTGAAGCTTGGGGAGATGTGTGGAACATCTTCGATGAGTTTAAGGTGCCAGTTGCCAACAGAAGACTTAGATGCACTTGTATCAATCACCTCCGATGAGGATCTAGCCAATCTCATTGAGGAATACGATCTAGCCACGGCTGCGCTTCCTGCTATCAAGATCAGGGCTTTCCTTACGACCTCGAAAACCACCAAAAAAGTGTCGCCACCACCCTCCACCGCCTCCTCATCCTCGTCTTTTTCCTCGTCCTCTAGCAACGACGCTACATCGCCAAAATCATTTTATTCCCCCACCGCAGCCACCTTGCCTCCAAGATGTCCAGCGTCGAAAACCTGGCCTTGCATTCGGTATGTCTCAAGGCCGCCGGTATATCCGCCGTGTAAGGGTGTAGCCACCGTGGGACAGCTCCCTAAGTATGCTTATCGTCATGCGCATGGGAACAGTAATGGGCAGGTTTATCTTATCCACAATGGAAACCATTGGCAATAGCAGCAAAATTTGGTGGAGTTGCCTGAGGAAAATTAATACAGAAATTATCATCAATATTATAAGAATAAAAATTTATATGATGTAAGATCGATGCGACTGTAAAAAAAGGATCCGCAATGAATGGAAATGTTAACCTAATTTCATTTTGGCGTCGAACAATTTGATGGTGAGTTACGTTTTCCTGAATTTCTTCTAATCCTTTCATCAGATGTTCCTGATTTAATGCGGAAATTTTCATAGACTATCATATAGTATTCGTCTCCATATCGTGCTCTAACGTCCCTCGATTGCAACATAGCATGGTGGATAATAGCAAAAGCGAATAGTTCTATATTGCGAGATGACTTCATGAACAACATAAATTAACTAAGTTTATTATCGTTTAATTGTGTAGGATGTGATTTTTATTTTATTTTATTTTTCATTCGCATTTCTATCGTACGTAGTGTTTTATCCTTCTTTTGAGTTATATTTGTGTATCATTTTAAATAAGTTTATATAATTTCATGGTTTCATTTCTTGCAGGTGGAGAAGGATATTGAGATTGAAGATTTCTCAAGATTGAAAGTCATAATCCTATGTTAAGTTAATTCTTTCAACATTTTGATTTAATCCTTTGATTTATTGCCCCCATCGACTTCTAATATTGATCAAACCCTTGAATTTCAAATTAAAATATAAAACTACCCATTTTATTTTCAATGTTAGTTCTTGTTTAATAAAACTTTATTAAAATTTTATTAACTTTTCAATTGATCAATTTTTTTAAACCACATATGTTATGGTCCCACAACTTTTATTAAATTTTCAGCCATTCATTTTATCATTTTTATCAAAATTGCTAAAACTGTTTTCAAAAGCTTTGTTTGACACTTCATTAATATATTGTATATTTTTTGTGGAATAGATCAATTTTGCAAAAACCATAAGAAAAATCATGATATTATAGTCCAATGTTGGTCATATACACCCCATCAAATTTGTCTACCCTTAATTGATTGAGACGATGATATTTTGTTGTGTCTGAACAGTTGCAGGAGAGACTGAGATACTGGTTCACTGTACAAATTTGAAAATGCCAAAAACCATTTACATATATATTTTATTTTATTATTATTATTTTTTTACCCAGGTGTCCACTTTCGACAACTAATCCTGAGGTCTACGACTGGGCCCCTTAGACGCAGACCAGATAAATCGCGGGATGTGCTCCAAACTGGCCAGAGTCCAAGAGTCTCCTCCAATGATCTGCCAAAGTATGGAGCGAGTCAACACATGTGGCCACTGCAGGGCAACAATAAATTGAACTTTTGGAACCTTATAATTTCAATTGATAAAGTCCATGTTTGGTTTAATTAAAAAAAATTGATAAGAATTTAAGTCAAACTCAATTAATTTTAGTCATACATTTTATCAACTTTTCAATCACACATTTCATCAATTTTTATTAAAATTTGCTTAAAATATTTGAATTTAAGCAAAATCAAACAGGGGCTAAATAGGGAAGAGTTAGGTGGCCCGTGTGGACTATGACAATAACGTAAATAAATTTATGAAGTCGAATAATTTCTTAATGTGAAAATGCGAGGCCATTAATGTGAGAAAAGTACCCTTCCCCTACGGTCTAGAGATTTAAACCGGCGATTGCCGCACTTGTAAACTCCTACAAATTTTCTAAGTGTTTTTCTTTCTTTTCTCTTCTTAAAAATAAGCTCGTGTTGGCCGTGGCCGACAAGGGCCACATTGTCATCTAATTGAATAATATTTTTTCACATGTTGAGCTATCAGTGTATTTTGACACCTCGAATCTCCATCAAAAATACATTATTTTGATACATTTTACTAGAAAATTAAGAATGTCTGCATCTGGATGTCATCATCATAATGGTAGGCTATACAAATTCAAATGGACTTGGTGTGTGCAACTTGCAAGAACAATGCCAACTACATTCTTTGAATATATGAAAGCCTAGTGCTTATTCCTATTCATTCACACGTTGTTGCAAGTTGGGCACCATAAATCAAGATTATGTGACCATTTTACAATTAAGTACCTATACATTAATGGTATTTTGATTGTATTAACATAGAAAAAAATGCAGCAATAGATTTATAATATTATTTTATATTGACATGAAAGCAGCAATAGATTTATAATATTATTTTATATTGACATGAAACCCACTTTGTACATAGAACACAAGATATATAAAGAAAAATGAATGGAAAAACTAGTTTAAGTACCTCAACTTGTGACGTCGGATAGAATAGTGATTATTCTGTAGGCTGAAACCAATAGACAATAATAGAGAAGAACGCAAGAGAATAACACTAAGAAAAATGAGAAAATATTTATTATTCAACAACAAAGCGAAATAACCCACAAGTCGGGTTAAGTAGTTAAAAAATAATAATTTTTGAAATTTTACCAAAAATAGCAAAATCCTATTATTCATATCAAAAGGAAATACGTAATGACGGAAATAAAATCCCAAAAATTTGGCTAAATTTGAGATCGTAATATATGTCAAAAGGAAATTGAAATATTACAAAAAATGACAAAAAATAACTTAAATTGATGATTCGGAAGGGAAAACAACTGAATTTGGCCTAGAAATCGATGCACACTGAGCATAGCTCGATGACCACTACGTGCGCGCCGAAAAGAGCTTTTCGAATTGGGGTCATGGGCGTGATTCTAACAATCGTAGCCAAAGTTATGGTCAAAATACCGAAACGTGTCCAAAAAGGTCCCAATTAGGAAATGTCGATAATTATTTGTCAATTTTGCGCTGATCTGCCAACTCATGGTATCTCAGGGCCATTAACGTACTATTAAATAGCTCGGTCTCGTCTGACTCGGATCCTCCTGCATCGACTTGTTACATTTTCTTTTGTTTGCTTATCTACAAGGGTTTAATATAATTTGCCTCCAAGATAATTATTTGGCTCCTACATACTCCTACGTACCCAACAAAAAACAAGGAGAGCATGGAAGTTTTTATATCGCTCCAATCTAACGATCATAAAAATAAGACCCGAAAGTGTTTGTTAATTTAACTTATTCCTAAACAAAGACATAAGCTATAAAGGCACTTTTTACGTAGCATTACGTATAACTATAGAGTATAGTTTTATACTATTTTTCTTTTTTATAACTGTTTATTGCTACCCAGTCTGATAAACACCTTTTTTTTTCAGAGTATAACCATTGTCAATAAATAAATAAGTATTTTTGAACTTGACCAAACATGAATTAGATATTTATAAATAAATAATTATTAATATTCTATTAGAAAATCACTTTCTCCCAATTAGCATAATCTTATAAAACCTAACATCTATTATGTTTTTGCCCCTTAAGAGCAAATTCTTATATAATTAAATATGTTTAAGAAATAATATATTGTTGCTAGAAACACAACATTATATTAATATTCTTATAGAATGTTACTGAAGAATACACTTTACAATTTTAATATCCTAAACTAATATTTAACTATTGCTCTTTGTTGACGTTGGAAATTGTATGAACAAAATTCAAGTCAACTTTGAATGCAAGTAATAACTTAATTGATTGTTGATCAAAAGGTTGCCAATCTTAATACAATCATTCATTCTCTCTTTGAATGAGATATTTGAAATATGAAATGTAGGAATCATTTTTTTTAGTGGAAGCGTTATTTTTTCCTTTTCTTCCATTCCTTCCTTTTATAAGGAGAAATCTGCATGTATCCTTTATTTCCTATCTTATCAGCTACAGTACCGAACTGAGAAGGTACAATACTGGTATGTTTGGATTGGTTAACGAGCTTGGCTTGTCGGTCATCGTGAGTTTTACTTTATAGGTGGTGCTCAACAATTAATGAATTACTTAGGGAAACAAGCTAAAGTGTATGATTGGTAGAGTTGGTGGGCGTTGATGTAAGATCGTCCATATGCCACTTACTAATTGACTGTTTGTACAATATGTCAGAAACCAATAATCATTATGTCCCTTCAAGCCTTAACAAATATCTCAATTCGAACTGACCTCAAATATCCGAACTGATATTAGTACAAGCTTATTGAATATAACAAATTGTACCTATCGACCTCAGAGGTCGGATGCCAGCAGTTACCCCCAGGTTAGTACTTACCTAGGTGATGGGCTGACCTTGAAAGTGATTGACACATTTTTCAATTTCTGTAATCATTATAGGAATAAATGATATGAACAGGAGTCACACCGTTTCTTGCCAATGAGCTGTCATGCATATTTGGTTCCTTCTTTTGTAAGTTTCATCAAAACGACGTCGCCCCGAGGGAATTAAATCAAACCGTTCATTTTCCCTCCATTTCTTCATCCTACGGTCCAGATCACGCCACTTAATATTCATTCTCTTTAAATAAATTTCACCCTCTCATTTTCTCACTTTTACTTTCATCTTTTCAGACTTTTTGCTTTCTAAAGCATTTCTTTGCATCATTATCTGTTTTCTGAGTGAGGCCGTTCGTATTCAGGTATTTTTTTTAACAAAAATTCCTTTGTCTTTTTCTTCGAGTTTTACTTTGGTTGTTCACATGAGCTAGACGAATCGAGGGTACATTCTTGGGGTAACCAACATGAGGAAACAATACATTCTTTGTCTTCTCCTTCTTTTAGCTCTTCTTCTGCTAGCTTGGATTGTCAGGAGGTATTAACACTAGTTCCTATTATTTCAGTCTATCCAAAACAATTAAATTCTTTTAGGAACATGGCTCAAACTCGTGAAAGGGAAGAAGTAAGATCTCAGGGGCGTAAAGAGGGAAACGCTCTGGAATGGAGAGCAGATTCTTATAGGTCGGTGGTTACGGGGGATATGCTTGCCAGTTTGAGAGCCAAATATAGCATCCCGAGTTTAGTAGAATTAGTAATACCAACCTCATTCGATCGACCTAATACTCCACCAACTGGACGTGTAGCTTTAAATTCAGATATTCTCCATGCTCGTTTAAGACTTCCTTTCCCTAGGACCATA